TCAAACTGACTTAAAACTAAAAGATTACGTTCTCTCACGCGAACTCATTCGGGAGTGGTGACTTTCCACGTATTCCCAACTTCTGAGCCTGCTCACCTGAAGTTATGGTTGATTGCTCTTCGGCTGGATATCAACACACCCATTAACGTAAACTACGCCAGAGCGCGCACACACCTCACGCACCGGATGCCGTGTGCGCGCCCAAAGACAGTTTTTTTTTTATTATTATTTACCTCAAAGGCCGCAATGGCCTGCCTGATATTGACATGATGTGGTGGCCCTGCTGGTGTCCAAGAACATAGCTTTCATATCAACAGTCAGATTCCCACCTCACTTCCACAAAGGGTTGTCCATGGTAACTCATGGGTACCAACTGCAGTTTTACCTCCCTTTTCAGGGGTCCAAATGACTATTGTCAAGGATACCCTTTTTGGAGCCAGTATTGGTGGAGGAAGTTCAAAGTGTGTTGAAAATGACTATAAGGATACCCTTTTTGGAGCCAGTATTGGTGGAGGAAGTTCAAAGTGTGTTGAAAAAAAAGGAGCCATTTCAGAGGTGCCTCCCAGCGCACAGCAAAAGGGGGTTACTCCACACTTGGGAAAAAATGGGTGGTTACCGGCCCATTCCCAACCTCATGAGTCTCAAATAATATTTAAAGGTACTCTCATTCAAAATGATTCACCAAGAGTATTACTCGAATGGTCTCAGGCCTTAGCCCCCCTTCAGTTACAGGGTATCAAAATTCTTCCATATCTAGACGATTGGTTGATCTGCATCCCCAGTCTAAATCAAGGAGTAATGGACACCGAGAAAGTACTGGCCCATATTCAATCCCTTGGTTCCACTGTAATCTGGAAGAACAGCAGTCTTCAGCCTCGACAACAAGTGAACTTTCTCTGGATCCATTTTGATTCTGTGACAATGAATGCACGTCTCACCTCAGAGGGCCAACAGTCTGGGAAAAGCATTAAGACATTTCCAGTCAGGAAAACTGACTCCGCAGGTGAATGCGCACAAATTACAGAAGTTGTTTTGGCTGATAGCAACAGCATCAGTGGTGATCCTTCTGGGCCTGTTGAGAGCGCGTGGCATACAGTTGGTTTAATTCATTTAATCTCCATCCAATAAAGACAAAGGAGTAAAGCTGTTGGTGACACAGTTCTGCATGAAGGCTCTGCTCCCCTGGAGGAACAGAGACGTTCTTCTCAGAGGAGTTCCACTAGGAGTTCTTCCTCACAGAAGAGCAGTGATCACAACAGATGCATCACTGACAGGCTGGAGAGCTGTCTGGGAGGGCTGGTCATTTAGGGGCACGTGAAAGCTCCATTGGTCTTTGGAACACACAAATGTGCTCAAACTAAAGGCAGTTTCTTGCCTCAAGGGGTTGCTACAGTTCATTCATCACAAGCATGTGTTAGTGAGAACAGGCAGCACCTCTGTGGTGTATCATATAATTCACCAGGGTGGGACGAAGTCGCTACGCTGTACAGTCTCCAGGTGACTTAGTAGCTACTGACTTGGGCATTGCCCCGTCTAGCATCTCTGAGAACAATTCACATCCCAGTTGTGGCAGCCGATATCCTGTCCAGGACAGGGCCTCTCCCAGGAGAGTGGCGCTTACACCCAAAGTAGAGGGTCAAATTTGAACCCGTTATGGGGAAGCCCAGATCGATTTTTATGCATCCAGGGAAACAACTCATTGTCAGGAATGGTACTCCCTTATAGATACAGGAGGACTGCTCTGGCCTAGGTGTTCTCAAAATCTCAAGAATGGCCAACAGGATTGTTGTATGCTTTTCCCCCTCTTCCGTTGATTCCTCAAGTCATTCAGAGGATCAAGGAGGGTCATTACTCTGTGCTGATGGTGGCTCCATGCTGGCCAGGAAGGCCATGGTTCCAGACCTGATTCGACTGATACAAGACTGCCCATGGCAGCTGCCAGCTCGAACGAATCTTCTGTCACAGACAGACGGACAGATTTGGCATCCAAACCTGACTGCTCTGCACTTGTGGGTATGGTCTCTGTGGAGTCTGTCTCTCAACAGTCAGATGACACACGAGACACTGAGCAATACTAGAGTCTCATCTATTCGGGCCAATTACTCTCTAAGCTGGAAAAAAAAAATTTCAAACTGGTGTGTGAACACTAAGGTGGACTCAGTTCTCTGCCACTTGTCCTTCTTTTTTACAGTTTCAACTGGATCAAGGCAAGGCAGCCAGTACAAACAAGGGTTATGCCTTGGTTATTTAAGCATTTCATGAAGGGCCAATGACCAGCTATTAGGCCGACTTCCTTTAATAAGTACGTTTCCAAAAGGAGTTGACCTGTGTCCAGACCGTACTCTGCGGACACCAAGTTCGGACTTGCCTCTTGTATTTAACTCTCTCACTAAGTCCCAGTATGGCCTATTGTGAAAACAGATTGAAATATGTCTCTCTAAATGGATTTTCTCTTGGCTCTCTGCTCTGCTAAGCAGGTAGGAGAGCTCTGTGCTCTCTCTGTTAGTGGAGATTGTTAGCGGTGGAAGGCAGATGGCACGGGAGTGTCACTTAGCCTAACCCTGCATTTTTGCCAAAAATATTTAAGCCCCAGTTACAATTTAGGTACTGGAGGTGGTTCAATGTTAACCATTTCCTCACATGCAGAACAGGAGCAGTTACTTAACCTGTGTTCTTAACCTGTGTTCAGTGAGGGCATTGCGTACTATGTAATTGTACTCAGTCTTTGAGGAAAGCTAATCTTCAGCTTTTTTTCTACTACAGTAAGGCCAGGGAGGGGTTGCTGCTGTCTAAACAGCATTTGTCACATTGGGTAGTCGATGTTATTTCTTAAACCTATGCTGAAAGGGGGTTTTCGTTTCCTACAGGAATACGAGCCCACTCTCACGATGAACCACAACCCCACTGCACTAAAAGGAGTTCTGTGGGAGATATTTGTGTGGCAACTTCATGGTCTACTACATCATGTACACTATTGAGATTTATAGAATTAATGTAACCGTGCAGCACCTGTGAGCACTGCAGTTCTGATGTCTGTTGCCCAGCGAGATTTAGGAAAATCTAATTCTTCTGTTCCTCACGACCCTTTTGGTATAGGTCATCCTATTAAGACCGTAGTGACGGTCAGAGTGAGGTCGAAACAGATCGTAAGTTATGAATATAACTATGGATCTGTGAGACCGAAGGATGACCATCACTATCCTTGTCGCTCAGAACACTAGGCGTTCAAGGTAAGAAAATGAGCTGGAAGTTTATCCCGCTTTTTATAGTGCGGAAAGCTCCGCCTCCAGGGTCATGGGCATGACTTTGTTTACATAAGGTCTCGAGAGAAGGCAGAACGAAGGTTATCATACTATTAAGACCGTAGTGACGGTCATCCTTCGGTCTCACAGATCCATAGTTATATTCATAACTTACGTTTTATCATTTATGAAAAGACAAAAGGTGTAAAAACACAAGTGAAAGGCACTGACTTGATAGTCCAGTGCTTCTTATGTCACATTTTTCAGCTTGTCTTTGATTTGCTGAGATTTGGAAAGGATTAGAAGTTCCTCCACCTCATTGGCTGAGAGACCTGCCTTTAATCCTGCCTGTGCAAAACAGAAAGGCAAGCCTATTGTTAACACACTATTTTATCAAACAATAGTTTGTTTTATTGTCTTTCCTACTGGTTTATTATAAACAGATATGCCAGTCTCTGTCTTGACACTAAAATGAAATTTATTCATGCATATGTTATGGAGTAATAATTTAAAGATTATCATGTAAATGTATTCCATTTAGTTAGTGACTGTTTTTCTTATTTAGTTTGATTTAATTTCTTAATCTTGGATGCAGGATACCTCAGTGAGTGTGGCAGGGTGGGTAATGTCCTGATGAGTGCACCAGATATTCTTCCAGAGCTCTCTAGACACCCTTTCCACCAGCACGCCTCTCTCTTTTTCTTTCTCATCTACAGCTGTCACAAAACGCATCACATTCAAAGTGCCTTGGTTGGAAAGAAAGAAAAAGAGATGTGATAAACCTAAATAACCACTGAATATTTACACACAAATGCAAAAGACTTTTTAAATTTTAAAGGGGTCATATGATGCTTTTTTAAAGATCATTATTTTGTGTATTTGGTGTAACAGAATATGTTGACATGCTTTAATGTTCAAAAAACACATTATTTTTCAAATACTGTACATTATTGTAGATCCTATTTTAAATAAACAGAAAGACAGTTTATGCTTTATTAGATTATAAAAACAATCTAACATGACAAGTTTAATGCCAAATAGCACTGCTTACATGCCCTTGTAATGGACTTAACTGGCAGGGAAAAATCTTTTCCCGTAAGTTTACAATAAAAAAGTCCAGCATTCTTCTTCTATTTAAGTGTGTGAAATCAGCTTAAAGCATGGCTTAGATTCATAAGCCATCATAAAGAGAAATAGTGGTTTGAATACCTTTTTTACAAGGCAAAGGTGGATTCACACGGACTCCAAAGAACTCAGACAGCTGCTTCAAATCTGTGACCATGTAACAAAACTTATTTTGGACCAATCCAGGTTTCTGGTTACCTAGAAATAAAAAACAAAAAGGTTTTGTGACATTGTGAAGAATATCTCAACAAAAACAACAAATTGTTTGGCATTTACCTGAACCATGAAAGACTCCTCCTAAAAATGCCGGTTTGAATTTGAGGTCGATGTTCCAAACATTTCTATAGCAACACAGCACCTTAAAACACAAAATCAACACAGGCACAGTACTGACACTGCATTTGCACCGAAGGCATGGCAATGAATATACTAAGGATGAAAAAAACATTACTAACCTCAAATGCCAGCCAGGAATAAGTAGAGATGACATCATAGTACAACTTGACCACTTTTCTGGAATTGGACATCTGTAATAAATAATCACAATATTCACAAATCCAAACACATAAGTATGGACTACAATATACAGTATATTACAATATATTATAATGGCATTTACAGGCATGAGGGCACACTACCTTTGCTGTGTTCTTATTCTTGTTCTGATTCCTTTAAACGGAGGGTGTAGCTGCAGGATGGCGATCTCTAAGGGATAGGATCTACAGAGAAAAGACATAGGAAAACCCTACCCCTAACCTTAACTATCTGTCTTGTACCCTCCCTTTTAAACTTTCTCCAAACCTGTTTGGAATTCTTTTTCCCTTTTTGTAAACCACTTGTCTTCCACCATGTCTATGTGTTTAATGGTGGTTGGCAAACCAGCTTAGCTGGGATCACTGTTTCATGTGCTTTAAAACTCATTAGCACATGCTGTACAGTCTCTGGGAGTTCAGACATACGATACCTTTCTGACTAATGTTCCCAATTCAAAGAAGTGACTGGTTTTACCCTCGGTGACACGGTCTCATTGTTGTACTTGTTGTACTTGTTGTACTTGTACCCTCAGCGAAGAGAAACCTTGTTAAAGTTCAATGCAGTTAGAATGAGAGACAAATCAAGATCCACTATTTATGGCAGAAGGCCACTCATTAGTTATGGTAGCTTAACAACCATTATTAATAACATATTATGAACAAACTTCACAATAAACAAAAACAAAACTATTCTTGGACTCAATAACTTAATCTAATACAATAGATCTTAATCGGGGTTGAATTGTTTTATATTTAATTGAATTTTATGTGGATGAAAATAAGCCTGTGAAAACACACACTGTAGAATGGTCCTAGGCCCGATGTAATTTTCACATTCAACTTTTAAAACTGTTTTATGGAGTTTTTGTCTACCGAGTTATTTTGAAAAGAGGTTTCTTCACCTGAACTGTTTTGAGACTTTAACCTTGTAAAGCCTACATATCGTATTTGATACACATATTTCGAAAGCCTCTAAATTATTAAGACAAAACTTTGCTGAAAAACCTGTTGTACACAGTCTTCTACATGCCTTCTGTCTGATAGCTTACTTAATATAGTATACCATAGTAAGTAAAAGGCCTTTTAGTATAATTATAAAAATGTCCACCTTCAGGTTCTGGTACGTGTCAAATGTTAACTTAAAAGATTTTTTTCACACCCAGAAAATGTAAAAGCATGAGAACTTTCACATTACATGAGGACACGGGGGTCAGTTGGGTTGTTTGGGTTTACAATCTGATTTTTATAAGACCTTATTTTAAAGAATTATTACACTCTTAAAAATAAAGTTTCTAAAAGGGGGATTTTGTAGTGATGAAATAAAAAAAACATTTTGGATTCCACAAAGATCAGTTCTTTAAAAAAAAAAAAAAACAATGTGAAAATTTTTTTATAATATAAAGAAACTTTTTCCACTATAAAGAACCTTTTGTGCAAGGGAATGGATTCCATTGATGTTAAAGGTTCTTCATGACAATAAAGAACCTTTATTTTTTGGAGGGTATATGCTTTATGTTTGTACATATGTATTATTTAGACCTCAACTTTACTATTTCTGTATTCCTGGCTTATTTTTCAGCTTTTTTTTATTTTGTGTGTGTGTGTGTGTGTTTGCTGTTGAATAAAAAACGTGAATTTACAGTACTTTAAAATTGTATTTAGAAGTTGTTCAGATAGACATAGTATGGAGGAGTAGTGATCACATCTGGGCTGTAGGCTTGTCAGGGTAAGGCCCCACCCACTTCTCTCCTAGAACACACAGCCAGAAAAGAAAATGATTGCACAATGAACAGTGTGTCACCTAAGATTTTAACACCCCAAGGTTAGATAGGAATTTATGGTTTAAAACATCACACAGCACAATAAATGATACATATAATATGGTATAATATATATGGGAAGTATAAAAAATACATTTATATATATACATATGTGACCCTGGACCACAAAACCAGTCATATAAGGGTCAATTTTTCGAAATTGAGATTTATACATCACCTGAAAGCTGAATAAATATGCTTTCTATTGATGTATGGTTTGTTAGGATAGGACAGAGGTCGGGAACCTATGGCTCGCGAGCCACACCTGGCTCTTTGACAAAAATCATGTGGCTCGCCAGATCTCTCACCCTTTACTAACAAATGATCTATTACACAAATTAGACATCACTAGAGATCAGCAATTCCTTTGTTGTAGAGCCTACATAAGCTCTACATATACATGTAAAATAATAATACATTTTCTGTACCGGCCAAAGTGCGTGTTCAGTGCGCGTTCAGAGCTGTT